GTCTTTGTTTTGCTGCAGTAAAATTGACGCATTGGCGCTTTGGTGGTTCCTTTCGTGGACTGCGCTGATCTCGCGGGCCGGGGTCTCGTGGTGATTGTTGGGGGCGCACGAACTCAGGTAGGTGATTTTGTAGGTAGAGAAGGGCTTCTTCTGGATGTGTGAATGATTTGGATTCCCCTGATGGCGTAGTGAAGCGAAGTGTGGCAGGGTAAGCAAGGGTGAACTTAACCCCTTTTTTTGAAATAATGTAGCACAGATTTGCTGGAACGGCTTGCATTTGCGAGATACCTCTTGCGAGTAGTCGGCAAACAGTAAAAGCTGTCCAGTTGTAGGGAGCGTGAGTTGTGAAATGAATTGAGAATGGCTACCCGGTCGGCGTAATTAAGGTATTTGATGATTGTAGATCGCGGCGTGCGTCTATCATTTGAGGGTGCGCCTAATCTGTGTGCCCTTTTGACCTGGCAAGGTGACGTGATCCCCAGTGCTGCGGGTATGTGTTTAGAGCAGATATCAGTTAATAGACCTGAATTGTATGATTCTGGGAGGCCTACAACACCGAGGTTGTTCCTGCGATTTTTTTCTAGGTCATCCAACTTATCTAGGATGGTCTGTTGCACTCGTTTGGATTGTGTAGACTTCGCCTGCATAGCTTGAAACTCGTCCTCTAAGTCTGAGAGGCGGTGTTCAGCTTCGGTTATGCGTTTGGCGTTTTCCCCCAGATCTCTTCTGAGCTGTTCTATACCCTGATTTACTGCTGTGTCTACTGCCTGAGTAATGGTGGGTAGCAACAAAGAAGCAACAGCCTGTGCAATTTTTTCGTGTTGCGTGGGACTACTAGCCCCACAATCCGGAAGAGGAAAGAACATCATTTCACCATAAACTGGACACGACCAAGTGCTTCTTGCAATATTTCTGACAGACGAGTGAAAAGAAGAGTTGTCCTGAGTGAAGGACCATTTGTAACTGCTAATTCCAGGTCTTTCTGAAGATCTCCACAAGTGTTTCAAAGAAAACAATAAGTAATGCACTCAACCGCCATGGCCTATATCCATGCTCACCACGCAAGACTCCATTTGCTGAAGAAAAAGCATGTTGAAGTTTGTTTAAAGTTTGCTGCACAACGTTTAGACAAGTCTGTGAAATACTGGGAGTATAAAGTCTGGTCAGATGAGACCAAAATTGAACTCTTGGATGCCATAGTACACACCAAGTTTGGAGGACAAATGGCACTGCACATCACCCCAAAAACACAATAACAGTGAAGTTTGGAGGTGGGAACATCATGGTGTGGGGCTGTTTTCAGCATATGGTACTGGCAAATGTCATGTCATTGAAGGAAGGATGAATGGAAAAATGTACCAAGACATTCTTGATAGAAATCTGCTGCCATCTACCAGGATGATGAGAATGAAACGAGGGTGGACATTTCAGCAAGGCAATGATCCCAAAAATAAAGCCAAGGAAATTCTCAATTGGTCTCAAAGAAAGAAAATAAAGCTGCTAGAATGGCCCAGCCAATCACTTGACTTGAATTCAATTGAAAATCTATGGAAATAACTTAAGATCAGAGTTCATAGAAGAGGCCCATGGAACCTTCAAGATTTAAAGACTGTGTGGAAGAATGGGACGAAATCACACCTGAGCAATGCATGTGACTAGTTTCTCCATACAGCAGGCGTCTTGAAGGATTTTGTATGAAGTAGTAAATAAATTTTAGTTAATGTGTTCAATACTTTTTCCCTGTGTCATTCCATTTTATTACACATAACTTAACTTCTGAACTTTTTTGTTTTGGTTTCTTTGTATGTATGGATTGCTTGTGATACCTACATGGTAAACATTTCATGTCAGTTGCACCTTTAGAAATATGTTTACTGAGAAAAAATGGTGACGTGTTCAATACTTATTTTACCCGCAACAATCCAAAATGACTGCTCATAAAGCAAAGAGAATCTTCAAACTCATGGGGAGTTTGCACTATTCTCCTCTTGCAGTAAGTGCCCGGTCATACCAGTGCGATTTGGGAATTGAAATGGCATCTAATGAATGTGAATGTCAGTGTCTTAACATTTGCGATTTGCTGCAGCATTATTTCTAGAGTAGTTCTTGCTTTACTTTTTCTGCAGTTTTGCTACGATTTCACATACATAGAATATTAGAGAAATCACACTGCAAATTGTAAGAAATCATTGAAAATCTTCCCAAGTAGCAATAAAGTCTTCAGAAATTGCACTGAAATTGCACACAAATCACAAGATTTTAAACCACAAGATTTTAAATTGCAGTGGTGTGACCAGTGACTAAGTCTCTTTGCTATGCATTTACTGAAGAGATGGTCTCTGCAAGTCTCCATCCTTGGAAGATATGACCGAAATCTTCCAGTTTGTTTTTGTATCTCTGGCAACTTCATTTTCTTGTTATATATTCTTTTCTCAGAACATGTTAACATTTTTTAATTAGGAATTGAGTGCTTTGATATCTTACTATTCTGATATTTTGGTATGTGAGCCCCAGAAGAGACTGAAGAATTATTTTAGATCATCATAATGAACCTTTAAGAGGCTATGTTCACAAATACCATTCAGGATAAAATATATATAAAGATATAAAACTATAATTGGACCTTCCTTTTATAAAAATAGGGATACTCAAATCATGTGGCTATAAAAGAAGGATGAATAGATAGGTAGATAGCAAATCTGTATGTCCCTCATGAGGTGGTACTCTGAGGTGCACAACTTTGAGGACCATGAAGCAAAATGTAGAAATGTGACATTACTCCTACCACTGTCATTTCTACCACTCTGCTGCTGAGACTGTGACTGTAATATTGACTCTTTAATACAGCGAAGTGGAGGTAATTGGGAAGGGCTTGTGATCACTTATGTATGCTTCATGGCCCAAATAAATAAGAGGACCAATCTTCCGATTGGGGGTGTCATGTAGGCATTTTGGAAAACATATCCATAATAGTGCTGTTAAGCTGGGTGCACATGGTCCAAATATTGACCGGTTCAACAGGAATCAGCCGACGTTCTGACCATGTGTACAGCTGTGTTTCAGATAGAAGCCGGTTTAAGGACCAGCTTATGTTGAAGGGACATGGTGGAAAGCCAGCATCCGATCAGCGTTGGCAGCCAACGGCTGTGAGTGCTGATTAGTGTGTTCTGGCAGAGTAGGGCAGGCGAGTTCCCCTGTCAGAACACAAAGGCACAGCAGGGGAGATCTTTTTTTTTTTTTTTTTTTTTTTTTTTTTTTTTCTTTTTTTGCGCTCAGCCTGCTGGGTTGAACAAAAAAAACTGAATGTGTAGACCAGGCATTACTCCATTAATTATTTTGCTGCTAGGACCTGACAGAGGGGGTTATTACACACAATCCGGTGGCTACAGCCATCGGGATTGTGCGTAAAACTGATAAGCAGACTTCTGCCTGTCAGGTGGATTGCTTCCACACCCCCCCCCCCTTCCTGCTGTCCTCCTTTCTTGCTGTGAACTGGAAAGCGTTGCATATGGTGTCACTTCCAGGCCACCTTGTCATTTTCCCTGGCTATCCTAGTTGGGGAGGATGTAATACAATTTGCATTGCAATACATTCTTTTAGACCCAGCATGTCTCATTAAAGAGAACCTGTCCCCTAATAATCATCCCATAGGGGACTTTGTTAAACAAAAAAATGTTTTTCTTATTGCTAAAAAATAAAGTTACAACCAAGCTCATAACATCTCCCACCAAAATAATTTTGAGGCCCCCTCCCCCACCCCACATATATGCACGTACTAATATAAACACATGCGTCAGGGGTGCCTACGCAGGAAAAAGCTGATTGCAATACACATGTTGCATATCGCCGCGCTTGTGTGAATGAAAGTAATAATTCTAGCCACAGATAACCTCTCTAACACTAAATTGATGACCTGTAGGGGCTTTTGAAGCATTGCCTATAGAAAATATAGGGTACTGAAGTTTGTTGCCATTTCATGGGCACACACAAATATAAGGTTTGACATGTTGGGTATCTATTTACTTGGTGCAACCTCGTCTTTTATATTTTAGCAAAGATTTGGGTAATATATTGCATTTGTTCAAAATTCACTTTAGTGTGTTTTTTTCCTGTAATTTTGCATTTCTTAAACCTTTGCGGTAATATTGTGTGACATAAAAAATTGGAACTACTACTATTTTATTTTCTAGGGTGTCTGCCTTCAGAAAATATATAATGTTTTAGGGTTTTGTGTAATCTTCAGGCCTAAAATGATCTTTTTAAACGTGTGCAAACAAAAATATGCAAAAATGGATCTGGCAGCGAAAGGCCTGCAAACAAAATATCATAGGTATACAACCATTTGTCTTATTCAACAAAGGTTGCCAATTCTTAAGTGCAGTACTATAGATTGACTAATCAGGATCTCCCATGTTTCCTATCTGATTGGATACTCATAAGAGTTCTCAAACTCTTTGAATAGAGCCAAACATATCTTTTATTATTTTTTTTTGGTTGACACACCATGGTCTCACCCCTATACAATGTCACGCCTCCATTTCCATTTATCCAGTCAATTCTCCTATCAACAATACTCTGTAGTGGTTACATCTGATGAGTTAGATAACGATGAAGGTCAGGTTGCTATGCTTGCTGTTCAGACTGTAAGTATAAATCTGCCTACTATAAAAAGGCCTAGCCTCCATTTTTGATGATTTCTTTCTTTAAAATATATAAGGTAAATGGAGGTTGTAGTACACGTTAGGTTTCCAAAAATTATCTTTAAAACATTTTTTCATCAGGGTGCGTATGATTAGTGCTCCGGGATAATTTGGTTCTTTAGGCTGTCAGACACAAAAATGGTGGAGTGGACTTTGTCTGTTCTTATCTGTTCACAAACACATCTCTGCACCTGGTGAACATGTGTCGGGACATCCTGCCAAGTATCTTCTCATCCAAAACAATCTCATCTTTATTTTAGGACATTGTAACTATTTTTTGGTTTTCTCCTTTTTCTGCAGTTTAATTTTGGAGATGTTGTGGTCCACCAGGCCATTCATACAATTGAATATTGTTTGGGGTGCATTTCCAACACCGCTTCTTATCTTCGACTTTGGGCCTTGAGTTTGGCCCATGCTCGTAAGTAATATAATTTATTATTCTAGTATAATGATCTTGTTTGTACAAATGTATGACTTAAAATATATGTGAACCCTTATTTTATAAAACAACCCATTCAGTTTCAATTAGAAATGAAAGGTAAAAACATCTGTGTACAGATATAAAAAAAAATTATATTTTTTTCCTTTTTATACGAGATTCCCTCTGTTTTCAGCTGCATAAGAGCTGGGGGAGAGGAAATAGCAGTACACTGATCTTCCAAGTAAAAGGATGCGTGGGGGGGGTTTGGGGACGGCATGTCAGCACAAGGCTGACCATTGGAGGAGAGCAGGCTGAGTGCTCAGCACAGCTAGATGACTGACCACGCTGTGCTCTCATGTCTAGTGTGGTCAGTTATTAATAGAAAAGCAGAGGGACTGGCAGGAACACCAGGATTTTTACACAAAGGATGCAATACAAACAGGATACTTTTTCATACAAGTACATGGTACAGCAGGCACATATCAGGAATAAGAAATGTTGGGTTTACATATTTTTTTACCTTGAAACCTAGCTCTGCTTTTTGGAAATAGCGTTAACAGTGTTATATACAGTTGTGCTCAAAAGTTTGCATACCCTGGCAGAAATTGTGAAATATTGGCATTTGATATTGAAAATATATTGAATGTTTGGCCTTGGTGCAGACACACAAGGTGACACACACGGGTTAAAATGCCAATTAGAGGTTGATGTCCCACATCTGTGGATTTTTAAATTGCAATTAATGTCAGTGTATAAAATAGTCAATGAGTTTGTTAGCTCTTACGTGGAAGCACTGACTAGGTTAGATACTGAGCCATGGGGATCAGAAAAGAAATGTCAAAAGTCCTGCGTAACAAGGTAATGGAACTTTATAAAGATGAAAGAACATAAAAAGATGTCCAAAGCCTTGAATATGCCAGTCAGTACTGTTAAATCACCTATTAGGAAGTGGAAAGTTCGGGGATCTCTTGATACCAAGTCAAGTACGCAGGACTTTTGACAGTTCTTTTCTGATCCCCATGGCTCAGTATCTAGCCTAGCCAGTGCTTCCATGTAAGAGCTAACAAACTCATTGACTATACACGGACACTAATTGCAATTTAAAAATCCACAGATGTGGGACATTTTAACCCATGTGTGTCACCTTGTGTGTCTGTACCAAGGCCAAACATTCCAGGGTATGTAAACTTTTGATCATGGCCATTTGGGTGATTTCTGTTACGATTTAAAAAGGAGCCAAACAACTATTTGATAATAAATGGCTTCATATGATCATCATCCTTCAATAAAAGAGCATTTTTTTGGCATGATTAGTCATATTTTCAATATCAATGCCAAAATTTACCAATTTCTGCCAGGGTATGCAAATTTTTGAGCACAACTGTATCATATACTGTGTTGGTTCTTGAAGCACTTGAATATTTGAAGTGGAACTATGACCTCCCATTAAAAGAAATATGTGCTACAGGTCTAATAGGTGGTGGGCGGACCGGCAGGCAGGGACACAAGATGTCAGAAGATGCCAAGACTAGACTCCAGCAGATTAAATAATACAGAAGCACTGCAGGTGGTGGGTGGAAAAAGATGCAGACAACATTTGTGTAGGCACTGGGGTGACAATCGCGCCTGTCACTGAAATGCAGGAGTAACTAGAGTAGCAGGTGCCCCCTGTTGATCAATCAACTTGGGTACAATCAGCCTGCCCACATATGGTTTGAATCCCAGTTGGTCCCTGCTTTATGACTAGCATAAGTTTTCAATTATTGCTGTAGGGCTTCCAAAAAATATTACATAACTGTATTTCCAAAAGAAAAGTCTGGAATTCAGAACAGAGATGAAGCTTAAGGAGCTGGAGAGCTACCTGGTTGGTTCTAGTACAGTTAATACGTCATCAGTTTGTATTGATGGAAGAATTATACTGGAATAAATGGAAAACGGGTAAAAGAAAAAAGACAGCACATCAGAAAGCACAGTAAAGTAAAAAAAAAAAAAAAAAATAGAGGAGAAATATGGGAATGGAGTTATGCCAACTCTGAGCTCAAGAACATAACCATTGATCGCTCAGTTCTTAGTCTACTTCAAGCGCAGAACAGTGACTGGCAATCTCTGCTCTGTGCTGTATTATATTAGGAAGGATGTTATGCTAGTTGGCCTGTGAGAGTTGAGTTCCTGGATCTGTCTGAAATATTATAATTTTACAGACAGGAGAGATATACGTGAAATATGTTTTAGGTTGTTGCTAACTTTTTTGTTAGCCCTGTATAAATATGTATTCTCTGATCTTTTCCCTAGAGCTCTCTGAGGTCCTCTGGACTATGGTGATGCATGTGGGCCTACATGTAAAAAGCATAGGTGGAGGCATTCTCCTGGTACTGGTGTTTGCAGCATTCTCTGCACTGACTATTGCCATCCTGCTTATCATGGAGGGACTGTCCGCTTTCCTGCATGCCCTCCGTCTCCACTGGTAAGTCTTGAAACCCTTTGTCATGTCTTTCTTAGAATTAAGAATATAAGAATTTCCAATCCTGAGCCAGCCTGTGCTTCTAGCACTTCCTAACTCTGTGCAAGAGAAGTGTTCTTTATGCTGCCCGACCTGTATCCTGGAACATTGTGAAGGCTCAGGCAGCTGACCAACTATCTTAGTGGGGGATCAAGTCTGCACTGAGATGGCAATTATTCCTTATGGATTATCCTGTTACTGTCCCCGCCTGCCTACATTTCCACTTAGATACCCTCACCTCCATAATGAACCAAAGCCACAGACCTTAAAAATGCTGGTCTTTCCCTGTATATAGTGGAAAAATCATTTTCATATATGTAAATGTTCCGTTGACTTATTGGCAGTGCAGACAGTTTTATCAACAAATGTTATTTATTAAATAAACGTTGCATGGCACGGGTGTCAAACTCGATTTTATTATGGGCCACTTAGGCATTATGGTTGCCCTCAAAGGGTCGGTTGTATCTCTAGGACTATATAAATTTATCTACTTTTTGTCATATTAAATAATTGCCTCTGCATTGGATTACTACTTGTTTTTAGTAATAACTTAAGACTTAAAATGGTTCTAAAGCCTAAACATTTTTTACCTTAATGCATTCTTTAAGCTCTAAAGGGCAGGTGCAGACCAACATGGAGCCCACTAACACTCATGCAGCAGATGATGCAAATCTGAACAGGATGGTAGCGTACAGCTGCTATCATCCACAAGAATCGTTATTAGAAACTGCTCAGACAGAACATGGAGACTGCACCGATAGAACACCACGACAGAACCAATAAAGTTTCTTCTAGATGATGCTAGCTGTGTGCGACTCTCCTTTTCAACTGGCATAGAATTGTATTATTTTCATAATAATTATAGGCAGATGTCCAGAGCACACCAGCACCCCCCCCCCCTTTACATCAAATGTCAAGAGTCCCCCACTCTCCCTAACATCACAGGGAACCTTTACCTTGTGCTGCTGTTGGGAAGAAGATGGAGACAGAGCTAGAAAAAAAGAAAGTGTAGGGTCTGGAGGAGGGAAAGAGTCACCTGCTGGAGTCTGCTTAATGCTGAAACCAGGGAAGGCAGTGATGAGGGGGTGCTGCGGCTGCACATACAGGTGCAGGTTCTGTTGGAGTTCTGTTCTCTCTGCTGCTGACTGCTGAAATAGTGGAAAGGGGCGACACAGACAAGTCTCTCTGCGGCTGCACGGAGAAACGCAAGATCTGGAGGAGGAGTTCTGTCCACCTCTCTGCTGCCAACTGCTGAGACAAGGTGGGGGAGAAGACTAGGAGTGTTGCAGGAGAGAGGTACAAGGGCCACCGGAAATGGTCTGGCGGGCTGGATTCGGCCCCCAGGCCTTGTGTTTGACACATGTGATGTATGGGGAGGGAGTGGTTTCTGGATCTCGAAGTAGAACAGATTTTGTGAATATGCACTCTTGCTACCATGTGGCTGGTGAGTGCTGCTTTCCCACTGTCTGGATATTATAAATTTTACTGTATGCTATACTACTTGATTACATACAGTGCATGAGCACCTTGATATTTCACACATATACCGCTTATTCAATTATTTTGAACACTTATTTTTTGCATTTTGTAAAGTTCATTGGAGAGAAGGTATAAAATATACTGTAGATAATAAGTACATAAAAAGCTAAATAAAAAGGAACACAAGGGTTGTTTTTCACCTGCCTGCCTCCCATTGCCAAACCATAGCAAATGTATACTTGTGTTTTTTTCTAGTGTGAGTGCCGATGACTTTTTTTTTTCAGTCATATTCAATAAAATCATTTTGCTATCTGCTTAGGTAGCATATTTACACTTAAAGCGGTAGTAAACTGCCACCAAAATAAAAAACAAAATGGGGCTGTGATGGCGGGTAGGCAGGACAGAACACACAAGGCAGATGGCAAACACACAAAGCTTTATTGAGAAAAATGACAGTCACTCAATAGGGGGATTGCAGGGAGTGGGACAGGACCCAGTATGGAAATAGCAAGGAGAGGGCTCAAAATAATTGTAATCCGTCCCCAAGGGGCAAGTTAGATTCTCTAGTGATTTGTAATCCAAGGAGGGAGCAGAGGGGGAACAGAGTTCAAGAACAGTCCAGGGGGAATAAAACGGGTGCATACACTCACGGCTCCGGCAGGGATGTCCTGGCTCACAGTGGACGGCAGCAGGGGTGACCCTGCTCAGCACACAGCAACAGTGGGTAGTTCTAGCACACAGCAACAGCGGGTAATCCGGGCCCTAGAGTATTAGGCAGAGTATCGTGGGGCCCACAGCAGATAGTCCTGACCCAGGGTATTAACAGAGTGTCAGCGGTACTCCCAGCACTAGAGTATTAGCAGAGTGTCAGCGGTACTCCCAGCCCTGGAGTATTCAGAGTGTCAGCAGTACTCCCAGCCCTGGAGTATTCAGAGTGTCAGCAGTACTCCCAGCCCTGGAGTATTCAGAGTGTCAGCAGTACTCCCAGCCCTGGAGTATTCGGAGTGTCAGCGGTAGCAATTCACCCCCCAAGTCCTGGGTGACTGCAGAGGGCAGCTGGCGTATCTCTACCTTCTCCTGGGGCTTTGCAGAGTGGCAGCTTGCGGAGTTCTCCCCCTTCCCTGGGGTGTGCAGAGCGGCAGGCAGCTTGCGGAGGCTCCCCCTTATCCTTGGGAGGTCTATGCAGAATGGCCACGAGGGTCCCGCCTCAGCTGGGATCCCTCTGTGGCTTGGCAGCGGAAGAGAGATCGGGAAGAGCCCGGAATCAGTCTCTTAAACCGATGCAGGACGCTTCCCGGTCGTCCTGGCAATGGTGGGTGGGCGCGGGTGGCGTGCCTCTGGACACAGGTCGTGCTCTCGTGAGCGTGGCCTTTGTCCGGAGGCATCCGCAAGCAGGGGAACTTCTCTCGTGCCCGCGCTGCGGATGCCGGGACCTTGCGGCATCAGCCTGATGCCGCGGTCCAGAACATCTCTGCAGGCAGTTTGCACCTCTCCGCAGCGAGGTGTTAACCTCGCTATCTTGTCCCCTTCGGCCTCGCCGGTTGGGGATAAGCTAGTGGCAGAGGTGAGGAGAGCCGCGCCTCTCATCCTGCGTGGCTCGGCTTCAAAGAGCCGCGGCAGGACGAGAGACAGCAGGGGGGCATTCCTGAGCGGGCAAACGGAGGGGAGAGAGCTCAAACTGTGACAGGGCCCCTGTAGGTTTAAGTCATAATGTACTAGTATGCGCCGCATAATAGCACATTATAATAGACTTACCTGGACACAGAGCCCTCCAGCACAGTGCTGCCATGGCTCCTGGGCGCATCCATCTTCACCCAGTATTTTTTCTGGGTTCCCGGATTCTGGCTCTATGTATGGCCTTGGGCTGCGATGACGTCACTCCCACACATGCACATGGGAGCCCCAGCACAGCGCTCTGAAGATTCGGCATGGGTGTGCCGACCCTTCAGAGCACATGTGCCGGTAACATCACCAGCTGCATGCTGTGTGAATATCTTCTGAACAGTGCAAGTTTAGGAGATATTCACTGTACAGGTAAGTCTTATTATAGGCTTACCTGTAAGTACAAGTTAAGAAGTGGACTTGACTTCCACTTTAATTAAAAAGCATACCTCACATAATCAATTATACTTTCTTAGTGTTGTTTTTTCTCTCCAACAAAACACAGGGAATATCCCTTTTGATTCAACACAGTTTTATTAGTTTTGCATACAAGATGTGATGGATTGACAGAACAAGCCACATGATTGGACAAGAGAGCCTTTTTTGGGGATTTGTAAATTAAACTCATCTGTAAGAAGCAAAAAGTGAGAGCTGAAGGGAGCCAAAGAGATTGACACTAGGTGAAGTGACAATTTCTCAGCTGATTTACATGTCCCAGGTCAGTTCTGTAGCCAGCTGCAATGGCCAGTCACCTGGCATTTTCAGAAGGTTGCAGTGGCAGCCCCTGTATCCTTCTCATGACATACTTCATGATTTACTTTAAGACAGCACTGGTAAAAGAAATGTGATCAAAGCCACCCTTTTACAACACACACATAGATTTATAGTCCAGTCCGAGGATGCATGTCCTGTGTCCCTTCCTAGTGACTGCGTGAGCACGCAGCTTTTCAGCTAATTAAAGCTGAGAATTTCAGTGAAACCCAAGACTGTGGGACATAGCTGTCATTCTTCCAGTGAATGGAAGAAACATGGTAGCAGCATATTGCAGCTGTCTCCTGTGCGCTGCCTACACCAGTCTCACATATAATAATCACCTCATCTGCCTTATCTCTCACAGTATGATGAATGAACCTGCAGATAATTTCCCCAGCAGTCCTGAATGTGCATTTTTAGAGCCCTCCCTAGGATATTGCTGGTAAATTACATTGGTACGAACACCATTGCTTTGCACATTAGCTATTTTACTGGCAAAATGATGGTTAGGCTTCATGCACACTAGCATTTTTTTAAGCTCCTAGCAGCTATTATGAGCCTTTTGTTTTGCTCCTAGAAGCTAATAGTTTGTCTATGTATACTATTTAATGCTAGAAGCGTTTTTCAAGCTTCAGTGTTTAGGAGCAGAAAAAAAATTGTTTTTTTGTAGAGTTTGAGAGCTTTTTCCCAGTAGGAAAAAAAGATGCATTTACTAGCATTTTTTTTCATGTACTGTAAAAACGCTAATAAAAAAACAAATGTTTCTAAACACTACAAGGGTGCACTGCCATCTAGGGTGCAGCTGACCCTTGCCTCACCACTTCCTTTTCCTCCTTGCCCCACCCCCCTAGGCTCCTGGTGTCCATCTTGGAGGGAACAGGACTGGTGTAGGACTGTTGGCTACTGAGTTTATCTCGGATCCCAGCTCATCGCCTCGACTGCAGAGAGGGCAGGGTGTGCTGGTGTCCTGATTGCTGCTGCTCTGGGCTGCCGACGCGGGGTAGCAGCGGTCCTCCTGTAGGGTTCGCAAGCACACAGGGACCCAAACAGTAAGGAAATCCAGTTGTGAGCAAGCCAGGCAGGGGATCAGGGCTATCACAGGAATGATGCCCTGGATCTCTGTTCTCCTCTCCCATCGACTTTCAGCTGATGCAGGGAGAGACACATACAAGACATCCTTCCTGTGATTGCTTGCCCTGCCGCACCTAGGGTTGCCACAATATTCAGTGTGGACTGAGTATTTGTGGGGGTCTCTGGTGGAGGTTCTCCAGGTGATCCACTACCCTGCACTGACCATTGCTGCGCTCCCCGTTGACCATGCCTCACTCCCAGGGGACATACCGTATATACTCGAGTATAAGCCGACCCGAATATAAGCCGAGGTACCTAATTTTACCACAAAAAACTGGGAAAAACTATTGACTCGAGTATAAGCCGAGGGTGGGAACACCAGTGGGAAGAATCGTGCCTCATCATTGGTGTCAGTGGGAGGAATAGTGCCCCATCATTGGTGTCAGTGGGAGGAATAGTGCCCCATCATTGGTATCAGTGGGAGGAATAGCACCCCATCATTAGTATCAGTGGGGGGAATAGCACCCCATTATTGGTGTCAGTGGAATAGTGCCCCATCTTTGGTGTCAGTGGGAGGAATAGTGTCTCAACATTGGTGTCAGTGGGAGGAATAGTATCCCATCGTTGGTGTCAGTGGGGGGCAGGAAAAGTGCCCCATCGTTGGTGTCAGTGGGGGGGGAGGAATAGTATCCCATGATTGGTGTCAGTGGGGGGTGTAATCGTGCTCCATGATTGGTGTCAGTGGGGGGTGGAATAGTGCCCCATCATTGGTGTCAGTGGGGGGGGAGGAATAGTGCCCAATCGTTGGTGTCAGTGGGGGGGAATAGTGTCACATCATTGGTGTCAGTGGGAGGAATAGTGCCCCATCATTGGTGTCAGTGGGAGGAATAGTGCCTCATCATTGGTGTCAGTGGGAGGAATAGTGCCCCATCATTGGTGTCAGTGGGAGGAATAGTGCCCCATCGTTGGTGTCAGTGGGAGGAATAATGCCCCATCATTGGTATCAGTGACACCAATGATGGGGCACTATACCTCCCACTGACACTTGCTGACCCCTGTTCCAGTATGGTGCTGCTGCAGCCAGCATATGTGGTTGCAGCAGCACCTAAGCACGGCACACTTACCTGCATCTCCTTCACTCGATTTTCGCGGGGCCGCTCAGCTCCGCCTCCTCGCCGGTGATTGGCCGCCTGTGTGCCTTTCCTGAGCTACAGTTCTGGCGCCCAATCACCGGTGAGAAGGCGGAGCCGAGCAGCCGCGCGAACATCCAGTGGACGAACCGAATGAAGGAGCAGCCGCGCTTCCTGGACCGGATCGTCGTGGGACCGGAGCCAGGTAAGAGACAGCAGCCCCCTGCCCACCCCTGTACTTACCGTAGTTTCCCTTCTGTTGGAAGGGCGGGGGAGCCATCTGCAGACGTTGACTCGAGTATAAGCCGAGGGGGCCGTTTTTCAGCACAAAAAAATGTGCTGAAAAACTCGGCTTATACTCGAGTATATACGGTATTTCTGCTCTGTTGTTCAGGGCCAGTGTGAAGATGCCATGACAGATGTGCTGAGGAAGACAGCCTCCACTCACCACATCCAGGGTTCTGGCACTGATGGCTTGCTATGACCTGACAAGTGAACCTGTCAGCCACCAGCTTTTGTGGAACCAGAACTCCCAGCATGCCCTGACAGCTTCTGCTGGACTCCTGCTTCCACAGGAGCTGGGGAGACCTGTCTGGGATTCACTCGAACAATCCAGGTTTTGTATCATGTGCCCAGGTTTCAGTCCGGCTGAAGCCTGGACACATTAGTCAGACCAGATTTTACGATTTACTTTACTGGTACTCTTTACCTGTATTTTCCTCCCGAAGCAGCTGAATGTCATCTTCTCTTCCTCTCCCTCCCACCAGCATTCAGACACTGCAGGAAGAAAATACAGGTGAATAGTTCTAGTAAATACCATCCCTCCTATCCAGCTTCCTCTTCCTTCTGCTGCGCTTTGCCCCTGTTTGCTCCCCTGTTCTGCTCCACACCCCTTTCTCCTCTTCCCAGCCAATGGAGCACATGCCATTGTAGGGAGCTTAGTGACTTTTAGGTGGCAGAAGTACACCAGATAACAAGTAGCTGGTTTTGGCTAGGGCACCAAATCGTCTAGCATGGGCCCCTGATCGCAGGTTTAGATTGTACACAGAATAAATGTTTTGTAGTTCAAAATGTGCATGCATGCCATCATTGTGATTATCTGGGAGAAATTAGAAAGATGAACAGTATGATGCTACCTCTTGAATACTGAGCCAGCAGCTCAGAGCAGTTCCTTATACGGGAACACAGTCAAGCTCTTCCAAACTTGTAGCAAATTGACTTTTCCCTTATTTGGATCTAGCTAGAGAGATTCATGGCATAACTCCAGCATTCTTGCCTTGCTATCCACATAACATTTTATCATGTGCTGAAGAAAGCTCATATGTCACGTCAAAAAAAAAAAAAACCCCAAAAACTTAGCAGTAGAGTGCATATCTGGCAGAGCAACAGGTATTGCAGAGATGTACAGCAAAGTCCTGTTGTGGGCTGACAGCAGCTCACGGACTTATCAGTGTTATTGCTAAACTACCCAAATCTTTACATTCCTGAATTTCTACAACAAAAAGGGTAGTTATTCTGTAGTTCACATGAGCACTGAGGCCTGTAGTCTATGAAGGGGCCATGTGTTTACGCAGCTTGAGCCTCTTGGTGCTGTGTGCAGGCAGCTCATGTAAGTGTATGGGGGTATAGCAACTGCACAGACAACTGGACTCCTCTCAATCTGACAAGTGTTCGGGTGAGCGGCCTCAGATGCAGACAGTATAGATTCATGGACTCAGCCACACCTGCATGCTTGGGATGAGTGGCTGTGTTCCTGAAGGCGCTGTGTCCCCATACACTTAAATGGGTGCCTACATGCAGCATATAGCTGCTCAAACGGCAAAAACACACTACCCATTCACAGACTATGCATCTCTGGACCCATGTGAATAAAGCCTTTGAAATAACTCAGGAAGTGTGCAAAGGACACAGGACAACATTGAATTTTGGATTAGATCAACATTCTTTTCGCACTTAAGCTGATATACCTAAACACTTCCAATGGTATGTTAACAACCCAAAATGAAGGACATAAGAGAAGTTAATTGTTAATGTTTCCATACAATTTAAAGGAAACCTCATCTTTGTGGCTCACAGTGAGTCTGAGCCAGGTGCATGTGTGCTCTCCCATTCCCATGCCACTGTCAGCAGTGGTAACCTCCAGGTCTTTCAGTACAGATTTCTTTTAAAGTACACCTGCCATAGGCAAATGAATAGGCTGCCATGGTCAAACTCCCTTTTGAAAATTGTAATTGTTTTTTTGCAAGTCTCTGATGAAGAACAAGTATGTAGATGTAAACATTTGGAAGTTCTTATCTGCATGCTTCTTCTGTGTTCATGATTTTATGTATTGACCAAGAGGTTTAGTTGGACAGCCAGTTGAGTTTTTCAGGGAGAGGTCAGAAAGGGCAGCCTCTGTGTTTCTTTTAAAGTAAAACCAGAATTCTAAACTAGATTTTTCAAAGGCTCTTCATCATCCCTCCCAAATCTTATAGACCTTAGAAAAGTAGTTGATAAGGTAGGAGCTGGCAGACTTGAATACCACCTACTTTGCTTGCTATGGTTTCTCTGAGCTAGCTGGATGCAGTGCTGAAGAAGCACATACAGTGATACTTATTTATAAAACTCTGTTAACAAAGGCATGGGAAATGTGAGACCTCAGAAATCCGCTATATTTGCTCGACTCTTCCGGAAACTCAGTTGACGGGTTTATATTGCTTTCAGTGTAGAATTTCTCTATCCATATTCTACTATGAGTTAATAAAACGTATGTGGCTGTTACGATCATAGTCTTACCATTTGATATTTATGTTTTTGCAAATATCCTCCTTACATATTCTCTTTTTCAGGGTGGAATTTCAGAATAAATTCTACATTGGAACAGGCTTCAAATTCTTGCCATTTTCATTTGAGAGCATTCGAGAGGGCAAATTTGACGACTAAGTTCCTCATCAGATGTGTTCCTTACCCTCCCTATATTGTTTTCCTGTCATGATGCATTGGTGTGAAACCTCATCCTTCGTACTTCACAGACTGGTACCTGGCAACTGTTTTGTTAGAGCCCTTCTATTCAGTAAATTAGTGTACTAAAAAAATGGAGGATGGGAAGCCTGCTATGAGGTGTTGGCAAAATCACATAGTTCATGGCAAATGTAGATGAAAAATACCAGTTTCATAATTTGCAGATTATAATATCTACTCCCACACTTGCATTTTCTTATTCTGTTCTTACCAATTTCTACCTCATTATTTGTTCACTAATGATACACGGTAGTAATTGTATTATTGCAGTAATAACCTCATGCAATTACGCTTGATAATTGACAAGACCGTGTTATATCCTCGCTCACACCATAGATTTTTGGGGCTTGGGAGGGGGTAAAAAAAACTATTGAGTACTGACATGACAATAGTATTTAATTACATTTCTTGTAAATGTACCCAAAGAGTCCACAGCAGAATGTTCATGTGGCAAGTTGGTTATCATCAAATAGAAGTACATGATGTTTTCTAGGTTACTGTGATAAATGTTCAGCACTTTGACTTGTGTTTGTTCTACAGAATTGGAATGTCCATTTGCAATATGTCCATTTTACAAAACCAATATAAAAATGGATTCCGAATATGAGATTTTTAAGATGAAATGGTGCACCCATCTTCCATTTTGCTGAAGCCTAAGAGCAACCATTTTGAGGGCTGAAGAACTGTTGTCCATTGAAAAGAATTTGATTCTTCCTTTAAATCTACCATATTGCTTTGGGAAGCAAGAGATTCTGACAGTTTTGTGTAAAATACAAAGTGGAACACTGTTTGATGCGTCAAATGGTTGTTTTTTTTTTGAGCAGAAGATAGGTAAAACACTTAACTGACGCTGGTTTGAACCTTATTGGAATTCTAAGAGGGTAAAAAAAAAAGTCCAAGCAATTTAAGTACTATGAGCTTGGCCCACTGTAGCCAGAAATCATCACTGTCCCTATATTGTTTACATTAGTAATGTTACTATAATAATAACCTTGTTGTGACCCTGTTTTTGATGCTGTGAATCGGTGAATGAAGTCTCCCTGCTTCTGGAAATAAACCTATAATTTATGACAACCAAGAATTCTTGTGTGTGTGGGCATTCTTACTGTTATTTTCTTCGGTGACCAATAATAATTTGGGCCACTTTATTAGGTACACTTGTTCAATTGCTTGGTAACACAAAATTGCTAATCAGCCAATCACATGGCAGCAAAACGCAATGCATCGAGGCATCTCCAGTGAGCGGCAGTTATGTGAACAAAAATGTCTTGTTGATTTCAAAGGAGAATGGGCAGACTGGTTGCTGTGACATTTAGATAGGGTCAGAATTTGAGGTAATCAACATGAAAGCAATGATCCATCCTACCTTGTATCAACAGTTCAGGCTGGTGGTGGTGGTGGTGGTGGTGTAATGGTGTGGGGGATATTTTCTTGGCACAAGCAAGGTGTACCTAATAAAGTGGCTGGTGAGTGTGTATCTTTTTGTGTGTTTTAAATCTTTGCTTTACAAATAAACATATGTGATACTAGCATTACAGAGGATTATATGTTTTCTAAAGCAGGCAATAGAGCAGAAGCTGTTATACAGTGAGAAACAGAAGTATTTGAACACCCTGCAATTTTGCAAGTTCTCCCACTTAGAAATCATGGAGGGGTCTGAAATTCACATTGTAGGTGCATTCCCACTTTGAGAGACAGAATTTAAAAATCATACAATGTGATTTTCCTGAATTTTTTTTAAAAAGAATTTATTTGTCTTGCACTGCTGAACATAAGTATTTGAACACCTGATAAAATCAGTGTTAATATTTGGTACAGAAGCCTTTGTTTGCAATTACAGAGGTCAAACGTTTCCTGTCGTTCTTGACCAGGTTTGCACACACTGCAACAGGGATTTTGGCCCACTCCTCCACACAAATCTCCTCCTAGATCTGTCAGGTTTCGGGGCTGTCTCTGAGCAACACGGAGTTTCAGCTCCCTCCAAAGATTTTCTATAGGATTTAGGTCTGGAGACTGGCTAGGCCACTCCAGAACCTTGATATGCTTCTTAAGGGGCCACTCCTTGGTTATCCTAGCAGTGTGCTTCAGGTCGTTGTCATGTTGGAAGACCCAGCCACGACCCATCTTCAGTGCTCTGACTGAGGAAAGGAGGTTGTTGCTCAAAATCTCACAATAAATGGCCCCATTCATCCTTTCCTTAATACGGTGGAGTCGTCCTGTCCCCTTTGCAGAAAAGCACCCCCAAAGCATGATGTTACCACTCCCATGCTTCACAGTAGGGATGGTGTTCTTGGGATGCAACTCAACCTTTTTTTTCCTCCAAAACACCAGGAGTGAAGTTTAGACCAAAAAGTTCTACTTTGGTCTCATCTGACCACATGACTTTCTCCCATGCCTCCTCTGGATCATCCAGATGGTCATTGGCAAACTTCAGGCGGGCCTGGACATGTGATGACTTGAGCAGGGGAACCTTCCGTGCAATGCATGATTTGAAACCATGACGGCGTAGTGTTCTACCGACAGTGACCTTTGAAACTGTGGTCCCAGCTCTCTTCATGTCATTGACCAGCTCCTCCCTTGTAGTTCTGGACTGATTCTTCACCTTTCTTATCATCAGTGATACCCCATAAGGTGAGATTTTGCATGGAGCCCCAGTCCGAGGGAGACTGACAGTTGTCTTTAGCCTCTTCCATTTTCACCAAGCTGCTTGGCAATTGCCCCGTAGCTCTTTCCAGCCTTGAGGAGGTCCACAATTTTTTCTTTGGTGTCTTTTGACAGCTCTTTGGTCTTGCTCATGGTAGTAGTTGGCGTCTAAAGACACCTGTCCACCCCACAGTCAGTCAAAGAGTTCAGACAAGTGCTACTAAGTTAGATTAATGAGTGGAGTAGTAGGTGGACTTTTTAAAGGCACAGTAACAGGTCTTTGAGAGTCAGAATTCTTGTTGTTTCTTAGGTGTTCAAAAACTTATGTTCAGCAGTGCAAGACAAATTCTTTAAAGATCATACAATGTGATTTCCTGAAATTTTTTAAAAAATTCTGTCTCTGAGTGGGAATACACCTACAATGTGAATTTAAGACCCCCTCCATGATTTCTAAGTGGGAGAACTTGCAAAATCGCATGGTGTTCAAATACTTCTGTTCCTCACTGTAATATACCTAGCAAAATCCCACCTTGAGTGCCGACAGCTGCTCCATTGTAATTAAAGCCTGCAAACCGTGGCTTCAATGATCAAAACATGTCCTTTCATCTCCAGATAATGGTAATTCCAGAAACCTCAAGTTTCTTTGAAAAGTGACTTTATTGAAACAAGTTAAAGTAAAACAGGATACAGCATATACCAATCATATAACAATGTTAAAAAAAAGGTAGGAAAAAAAAAGGAGAGGAGGGGGTGTGACAAACGCGGCATCAGACCCCAGACCTTCTCACCAAACTCATGACCGAAGGACTAGTCAATCTAAAACCGCGATGTCACGTGCGTAACAATGCCACACCCAGCTGCACACTGCACAATGTATTTTCCAGCTAATTGGACCACAATCTAGGTACTGGCAGCATGGGAGCGATTGTTACTGGGTCAGGTTAATTATGCATATAACCGTTCACACTGCCACCACCTCCTTTTTTGTACAGAGAAAGAGGAAACTTGGCAATATCAGCTATAACACTATAATGGTTTAGATAATAATCTGTATAACACGGTCACCGCAGGCCGGTATACAGAGGGTTAAACAAACACAGTAGCGCTCTTTTAGAGGCAGAAATTCGTAAATTGCAATAAAGCGCTATAGAAACAGTTCAACACTTTCAGAAAGAAAGATTTATTGCTCAAAGGTCAAAAGGGTGCAATAAAAATATTTACATAAAAAAGATGTAACCAATATATATATAAATATACAGAGAACAACAGCACAGCAAAGAGATAACAGGAGTTAGAGGGTCAAAGTACTTGCCAAAGTCCTGGGTTAGCAGATCAAGTTTCAGAGCGAAAGGGCGGCCTCCCAAGTTGGTTCTGATGTTAAACGGGAGAATTCTTCAACTTTTTCTCTCTTAGGCCTGACAACCCATTTTTTAGTTCCCCAGCAGGGGGTGTCTCTGAAGTCAAGGACCAATACCCCGTTTTAGGGAGGCATCGTCTGGGCGTAGGCCTAAACTAGAGCCAAAATCTCTTCTAGTTCATATTTTGACTCATAACTTTCCATCTGCACAAGTGATATTCCACCCGCGGGTAGATTATTATGCAGACACATCTGAGGAATGATTAGATATGAAATTATACACTGAATGGTTCAAGAGATCTACTTTTCTGCTTTCCTATGTATTCCAGCCAAGGAGAGTGACCTGTCAAACTATTTGCCTCCTCGTGGCCAATTTGAAGATATGCCTAGTTTTTCTGTAAGTTTCTCATATTCCAAGATATGAGACATAGGGGGAAAATGGATTTTAAAAGTGTTATCTGGTTCGTGCTTCCTTGGAATGTCTTTGAACTCCTGGGAAGGTTTGCGTTATCTTTTATGAGGTGTTATATTGCACAGCTCTCTTGGACAACCAGGCACTTCGGGGCTCTGGCCTGCCTGTGACACTTCCAACACCCACACCAATCAGATGTCACTGTGGCTCTCAGAGAGGAAGGGGGAGAATGATGGGACAAAATGGAGATTTCTTAACAAAATGGAGGGCTGCATCCTTCACTGTGTGTACACTTGTTACAGGGGGATATAGGGAATAAAGGGGAAACAAAAGCCCCCAGTTAAGGATGTATTAAATGTATAAATAAAGTGCATGGTACATTAATAGTGGCTGACATAATGGAAATAATAACATTAAACACGTAGGAAACTTTTAGACAATAATATACAAGCATAGACAGAGGTGCGGTGGCATTGCAAAAGAAAGCAACAGTATACAAGATCATGGCAC